AAATCATCCAATGCCTCAACTGCGGCTGAGTTCGTCAAGTCTGCAGAGGATGAGCCGGAAACCCAGTTCGATGCAGCTTGTACCGCGTCGTGAGCTGCATGTGAGGCTGCGTGAGACAGCGAAGGTAGATGGGTGTCTGGCATAAGCCACCAGCGAAACAACGCCGCGGCGCCATGGAAAGACCACAACTCGCTCCACATCATGAGTCCTGGTTGATGATGTGTTTGCTACCTTGACGAATGGAGTCTAAAGTCTGCAACGACAACCGCGTTGAAAATTCCCCATCGTACCTTATCATACAAGTAGTAAATGGCTGTTCCGGCCAACACGTGACGAAACGTCAAAGCTAAAGTTGGTCTCAAGTTCAGTAAAGTTTCCTTCGAGCTCTGCTGAGAACGTCCTGCATACCACTCATGCCAGCTTGAGGCGGCCATTGGGCATCATGGCGTAAACGGCGAAAACCGGCCATCGTGCACCGCGATTCCAACCCCGCAGTAGGACTTGTCATGGGCTAGATAGTGTAAACTCTCTCTTCATTTTGATGGTTGCATTGAATCTCTTAGCTTCAAAGATGCTTCAATAAGTTGAGGTCGCACGCGGCAATCGAATAACGTGGTCTCGGTCCCGTCGTCGCATTGATCGAAAGCCCGCTTGGACCCGACAGTTGCAAGAAAAATTCAAACAATGGGGCGGAAGGCAGGCATTGGCAGGTCTATCTCTTCGCGAATCCAACCGTTTCACATTGGAAACGAACCTTTTTTCCATTTCGTAGACTGAAAATGGGCGTTTCTCGTTATTTGTTTCCCTCCCGAGTCAGGATGCTTTGGTCCGTGGGGGCGGGTTGACGGCCGCCACCCTGCTTGCTTGCCGGCAAGATGGCTGAGTGTTACCTTCTTTGGGAGCCAGTTGTCGCATTTCGGCTTCGAGAAGCTCTGAGTAGAAGGCATGCGAATTGGACGAACTACAGCTGAGTTTGCTGCTACATAGTAGTACCTGTCTGCCCGCTTGGTCGGCCTGCCTTATGCTGATCGTAATGATGACCGTTCTTATTGGCTTTCGAGAATGTCACCGACCTTGCTCTCTGATCCAGGATACCATTCAAACGGGTCTCCTTGCATTGGAAGAGTGCTTCGGAGCTGAGCTGGCCTTGCCACAGTGGCCTAGAGCATATCCTAGTCTCCGGGAACTTGGCGTCACTTTCGACCACAGAAACGACTCAGGCCGTGCAGACAGATCGTCCGATCTCTCTGTGCTTTTGAAACGTTCCTCTTTTTCACCAGTGCCTTGGTGTTTGACTATGCCGTCGGAGGCCAAACGAACGAGATGGCAGATCCTAATGTGATCCGGGCACAGCGCTCCGCAGAAGCTTTGGAGGAGGTTCGTGTCACAGCCAGGTGATTGAGCAAAGCTATCCCTGATACCAGTCCATGCCTACAGCTTACTCGAGACCGCGAGCTGCGAGCTTAGGTGAGGGTCGCGACTAGCCCTGTGTTCTTCTATGAAAAGGAGAGTGTTTTGATGCTACTTTACTGGTATTATTCGAGTATCTCATCCCCGGATCTCAAACGTTAAACTCATCAATAACACTCTGAGGCTTCACGAAGCTACCCAGCGGATGATACTTGAGGTGAGAGAATCCAAAAGCCTCAGGCCCCCCGATCTCAAGGCCCCTTGTAGAGCCAGTCCAGCGATCACTAGCCGCGATACCCAAGACAGTGACCAAAAGTCCGTACCTGTACTCTGGGGTTCCAATGGCTTCGCCGTTTTGCGCGTCAATGACCGCGATAAGATCTGGCACGATGGCCAAGACATCTTCCTGCATCTCTGTCCTAGCTTCCTGTGGCCCGGATTTTGCAGAGGAAGCCTTGATTGCAGCAATGTTCTCATTCTTGAATGGGATCTTGACGAATCCTGTGAACTGTTCCTTCTTTGGCTCTTGCCCTGGCTCTTCCGATGAAGAGATATCGGCACCTTCGATAACCAGCTCTCCATAGACGTGACCTTTCCTGAGCACCCTTTCGACGCCCACGATCTTGCCCTTGAAGAGAACCTTGGCTGAGCCGTGACCGCCACATTCCTCAACGATGGTCTCCGCAACATTATCGACACAGTTGAGCTTTCTCGCCATGGCAACAGCTCGGCCGATTCGCCACGACTGAGAAATGGTGTGTTCCACCACCCACCTTTTGGTCTCGGCTCCCGTCACTGGCGGGTCAGCGACAGCCACCTGCGAGCCCATCTCCGCCAGAGCCGCACGCATGACCCGCTCAACCTGCTTATCAGATGACGCACGGGACATCGTGACGATGCTGCCGTTCCCGTCACTCATAGTCACTGGCGTCCAGATGGGACTCCGTTCGTTGAAGACCACCGGCGTCGTCTGCCACTTTGTCGGGTATGCCCGGCCCATCCAGTCCCCATCGACTGCCGGGACGTTCATGTTCGTGCTAGAACCGATCATCATGCTCTGCAGGCCGTTTGCGCCGCCAATCTCGACGGAGATCATATGCGTGGCGGGCGTGCCTAAATGCTTGTACATCTCTTCCTGGGCCTCTTGCATTTCGTCGGCAGACTTCTTTTCGATGGCGACGGTCGGGGACCCCGCATAGCCTCCGCACCCGACGAGGGCATCGTCGGGTATGTCGTGGGGATTAACAACTCTGACGACTGCACCTTTGCGCAGCTTCTCGCGGAGGATGAGTTGCTGGGAGTAGGGAGAGCCCCCTCCGCCTGTGCCGAGGATGTAGCATCCGATGCTGATCCAGTCTAGGTCGGTCTCGCTGATGTACCAGACTCGGTCTCTGACAAGAGGCTTGTAAGTCAAGACATCGATCTCTTCCTTGGTCTGAAATGTGGTAGTCTTTACGACTCGGTTGGTCGAGACTTCAGCGTCCTGACTCTCATCCTCACTGCTTTGCAGTAAAGATGAAAGATCTGTCCGAGAGAAGTCAAAGTCACCGGCAGCACGCACAATGAAGCGCGACTTGTTGGCAATGTACTACATCTGTCAGCCGACATGGTCCCACGTATCCCAAACTCCCGGGAGCACTTACAGCCAGGGGTATCGTATCCACATCCACGATCTGAACAGACGAAGGAACCGCACCCGCATCAACGGCCTTTCCCCTGGCCTCTTCCTCCACTCCAACCAAGATCTCTTGGATCGATCTGGACTCTGTCGACTTGACCGTGTCAACGGTGGCACTGACACGTGCAATGGCTGCGCCGATCGCGTTGGCGACGCCCGCCCACTCAGGCTTTAGCACCTCGCTAGCCCCCCTTAGCTCGTAAGGCGCAATCAGGGCGCCGCCGCCGACTAGGAGAACAGTCATGTCTTCGGGCGAGGTTTTCATCGTATCGATCACCTTTTCGAGCTTTTTCTTGACGATGGCGGAGAATTGGGTTACGCCTTGGGCATCGAGGGCGCTCTGGACCAAACTAGCGTCTCCGATGGGGGTGGCAGGCGACGATGAGCCGGCGAGGACGGTACAGTCCGTAGCGGTTAGAGTGCATCCTCCAAAGACGATGGCCTCTGTTTTGATCCTATAGCCAACACTGTCTGGTCCAACGGTAAGCTTCTCGACGCCCTTCCGGACTATGGAACCTCCACCTAGGCCGATACTCTTAACATCTGGGCAAGAGAAGTTGAGGCGGACTCCGGCGAATTCACTGTAGGCGGCTTGTTGACGTGGGAAACCGTTGGCCTGCAGTAGACCTACATCGGTAGTCGTACCTCCAATATCGACTACCATAACGGCACGATTGCTAAGTTTGTGATCCTGCACCAGAAAGGCAGCTCCTCGCATGCTGTTGGTCGGGCCGCTGGAGAATGTCCGGATGGGTAGGTTGGCAGCCATCTCGCCTGATAGGATTGTACCGTCATTCTGAGAGATGAAGACTGGGCAGTTGATGCCTAGCCTGCTCATAGGCTCCTGGAATGATTTGATCGTCCTGCGAGCAAAGTTCAACACCGTCGCGTTGAGAATGGCTGCGTTTTCTCGCTCCTGGAAGCCCAGGTTGGCCACGTCTTTGGAGCAGGTGACGGTACAGCCAGAAATCTCTGATCGTATGATGTCGGCAACTCGTTCTTCTTGTCGTTCGATGGTGTCGATGGGGCTGAAGATGCCGTTTACGACTACATTCTTAATGCCCCTTTCTCGAATTACAGCACATTGCGCTTTGATCTCCTCAGTGTCTATATCCGCAATCAGAGTGCCATCTACTTCTAGACCACCCTTGCACAGAGCATAGTAGCCCAAAATTAGGTCGCGTAAATCTTCTGGCCAATCCAGACAGGGCGGATCGTGCTTAGAGAACTGGCTCGTTAGCCTGATCACAGCAACCGGGGCCAGGCGAGCGGCATCCCTCTCGATGAGAGCGTTGACGAAGTGTGTCGTGCCGATGGTCACGCTAGCGATCTCACTCGGATCGATCTTGGTGGATTCGAACATTGTGACAATAGCGTTGTTGATGCCCTCGCTGGGGTTCGTCGTTGTTGGCGACTTGTGCCACGCGATGATACCCTTATCGGGCTCAGAGGCCCGCGAGGGATCGAGGACCACGCCATCCGTGTTTGTCCCGCCGACGTCAACGCCGATGCGGAGGTGTCGGGGTTGGGATGACATGATGGAGTATGTCGTTAGCTACGGGCGTGCCTGCTTTGTTCTACGTTCATGGAAGATCGCTCTATACACTGATGAGGATCGCGGGGTTCAACAACTCTATGGAAAGTGGGAGGTGGGGTACGAAGAATGGCCGATCCCTCGGAGACCGAGGCTCCGGGTACAAGGGCGGAGACCGGCCTCGAGGCGGCTCCGCCAAGACCGGCGGAAGCGGGTAACGGACGGCCTCATCCAACAGACATCCGGAAAGTGATTCCGAATTGCTGACCACAGGATTGTAGAGTATCATCCGAAATTGAAAGTACCATAGTAAGTTGTCATCACGAAGACCCTGGCGCTTTTTGGGGACTCTTCGCTCTAAAACAGAGCGGACTCGGCCTACTTCGCCCGACTGGCGATGACGTGCTCAGGAAAGACCGAGACGGTCCCTTGGCATATTTGACCAGAAGGCCAGGCCTTCAGAGTCTGCCTGAACGCCGTCCCCGGTGAGCGAAGAATGGCTGGGTAGCCTTCGAAGACTCTGGCAAGCGAGCGGCCTCTCTGCCCGTCTCTGTCCCACAAGTGCCCCCGTACATGATGCGGTGCACCGACGGGACCAGAGCCATGGGATTTCCACCAAGGAGGGTCCCATGCCTCTGCAGTGTTTGCATGTGCATACCATCGCGGGTCTTCGTTCTCGGCACAATCCGGTAGCGCGTCCTGGTTCTTCTGTTTCATTGCTGCGGCACAGTCTGGAAGCACTTTCCAACAGAAGCCAAGAGCCCTAAGTGAGACCAACCTTACAAAGGCTGGATGTGACGGCGATTCCGTCGCGTTTTAACTACTGTGATGTTGGGACGAATCGAGGCCTCCGCGGATACTCCCATTATTCAATGAGTCCTTTGACTGATCCGATGAATGGATGTGATCAGAAACATCTCGAGCCAGCTGCCTGAATGTCACGAAGAATGCTTCGAAAGACTCCAGGATCATTATGTTCTGGTATTTGACGGTGTCGCGGGATGTGGATTGGAAATTGGGCCTTGAAATGCATGCAGCTTACGTCTGCTAGAAACATAGAGCGTGCATCTTTCCCTCTAGGTAGTAATACAGAAAGAATTCAAAGCTCTCCTGTTATGACTTTCACTCCAAGCTTACTCCAAGCTTACTCCAAGCTTCCCGTACTCCAGGCCTCATCGGTGAACACCCCTGATCGAGATGGCTCATGTGAGGGTGAGGCGCGAGAAATATTGTATTTCCGGGATAGGATTACCCGAAGCTCGGCGGACACAAGCGTATGGCGACATTTATAGATTCGCCTGTGATGTCCAATCCATCCGTCACTCCTCGTCAAGGTACCAAAGAGAAAGGCCGCTCGAAGCGCGATGAGGAATAATGAAGATCGATTGTGTTCTGGGCCACTTCCGTCACGATTGACGGCGCCCAGCCTGTGAAATGATGCCGTCGTGACTCTCAGCCGCGAAGATCGCTGGCAAACGATCTGCCATTGAGGCAAGTCGAGGATATGCCATATGATCGACCCTCTCAGCCGTACGCCAGGGACATCCATGCAGACACACATAACGAAGGAGACGAGAGAGACACTACAGTCTAAAGCTCGCTTCTGCTGGCACGATTGAGCAGGTTGTTTCTCGATCGGGCATTTGTCTAGAGACATTCGTCGGGCAGCATGCATGTCTAGCATGAGTCTCTCCCGTTCAGCTGGGACGCAGAGAATCACGCTACATCCCGCGCTGTTCCATTTCGTTGCCTCGATTCGGTCTCGTAATAGTAATAGTCCCTCCCAAAGCGCAAGTTTTGGCCGACATATCACTTTCGGCAGTCACTTGGAACAGCGAAAACTCTGCCGTCTGACGAACTCAATATGATAGCTTCCAAGACATGTCAAAGGCCGAATATTGACCGCACACGCTCTGGCTTTTGCCTTCATTCCCCCGGTTTTTTGCCTCCGATCCTCGCTCACAACCCCTCCCACATCGCGTGATCAAGTTGCTGTTTGTGGAGAGATCCAAGACTTTACCAAGAGACGCCGTTCCAACTTTCAATCTGGTTTGGGGGGTTTCCCTGTGAAGAATTTTCCTTCCGACGGCCTTGAGCTTCTTGGCTGGCTGCCTGAGTTGCCTTCCCGCGATGCCGAGACTGAACAAGCAACACCAAGCTCAAGGCACCAGCATTGAGGCGTTCACTGAGTGAAGCTTCGATGTCTGGGCGCGGGCGCAGGGTCGTAGAACATGGCCAGGGGCCAGTGTATGGAAGGCAATGGGATGAACCGAATGAAGAGTCAAGAGAAAGACAAGAGATTGATCACTGCGAAAACCTTACTGTTGGACCATGCCAACTGCAAACCTCCGGTACAGGACCATGGAGAGATTTGCCAAGCTGGCTTTGCCTCCAAATCAAGATAATGTCACCGAGAGTACTCGCGTACTGCATAATGAAGAGAGAGAAAGCCGGGGGACTCTTCAAAGTTCTGTTTGTGTTTGTTTGGCGCGGGTGCGATCCCTTTGGAATCGGGAGGATCCTTTAACGCTGGTCTCATTTACGCCAAGAATGGCGTGCTCGACACCATCGTCCAATATGCTTCCCGGGCCCCGTTCTTTTTTTCTCCAACACCACACCCCCATGCATCCTCACCTCCCCCATATCACACCCTTCACTTTCAGCCCCGGGGAGACAACCAGAGAACAGGGACCAGCCTTCCTGTTGTCTTCTGGGGGTTGGTCCAGCCGTCTTGTCGTCCATACGGGGGGTGAGAGAAGGGGTGGTAGAGATGGTGGTGGTGATGGTGGACAGAGCTCCCCCAAGAGTGCCATTGGGATGTCGATTTTCCCATCTCGGGTGTTCGGCAGGACATCTGGACCACACACGACGTCGACTATGCTAGACACGGCATCGCGGACGAACCTGACAGCAGTAACCGACAAACCCGTCTGGCTTTTAAGCTTAATGAGAGGAGCATCGACCCGGTATGCTGGGAAAATTGAAAAGAGAGAAAAGGCACGAGCAGGAACGCCTGTCCAGTGTAAGCCTGCATGTATTCAAGCAAGCCACTGAATATGAACTTATGTTACCCGCCGCATACCGCGGAGAAAGGCCAATTTAGATTCATTTTTCTTTCTCTTCTCGGCCGCAGTCTCTTAATAGCTTTGGCACTACTCTTCACTACTGCCCGCCTTGTCCGGCCTTTCCAACGTCTCAAACATCCCGCGCGCTCGATACCCTCACCAGTGGTCTGGAACGCCAGTAGTCAACCCTCTACTGATCAGCCCCAGTGCCACCTGCCGTGTCCTTCACCGGTCGATCCCTGATCGATGTGCAAAAGGCTGAAGAGGACGGCATAATCACACGGAGAGCCGATCTCAGCTTCTGAGTGGTCTGGGAGGCGAAGATATACGTCAATCCATTCAAGATGTTAGTACCAATATCCCAGTTGTGGTCTGCCGTGTGTGCGTGTGTCTGCGCATGTTAGCCGCGCAGTAGCCCAGCTGCATATGGCACATGCCGAATCAAGGCCATCCCGGCGCGCAGTGACTTGGGGACGGCGGAATTTTGCTTTTTTGACAGCTCTCCTCCTCCTGCTCGTCGCCGCCCCCACGCGTCCAACCGAGAGAGTCAGCATCCCCGGCGGCCGGGCACGGGCGAGGGAGAAGCCATCAAATTGGGTTGGACTAATTAGCTTTGGTCAGGCAAGACAGTCGTCCGAGAGAGTGGTCGCACCGAAGGCTAGCATTCCACACCCCGGCCTGGAGTGCATGTACGTATTTCCAACACGCGGAAGGACCTACAGGAAAACAGTCAGTCAGACATGCTCTTCCCACGAAAGAAGAGGACCCTTTATTAGCTCGGTCTAATATGCATACGGGGAGAAACTGGTGGCCCACCCCGCCCGTTTCCCCCCAGTGCGGCCTGGGCCACCACATATCAAAATAGCGATGCTACTCCAAAACATATGGGCTGTTCCAGAGGACTGGATGCCTTCTAGAGACTTTCTGCGATTTCTCAAATTCATCAAGATGGAGGAAATCAAAATGAGAGGGTGTCTACATCCCATGCGACGCCATAGAGAATGATTATGTCGTCAGAAAATGGCTTTCAACTCCCACACCCCTACCCTTGGCGGCATGTGGGAGTGCAACATTCGCAGGGCTCCAATCGAAGGGCACCTTGGCGAGGCCTGGACGATCCGAAGCCACGCTTCTTGGCGACGCGGCCAAGCTTTGCTTCCAAGAGGGGGATAGCATCATCGTGGGTTCTTGTCAGTTTTTTGAGGTTTCTTGGGGGTGACTTGTGTTCCGCAGCATATAAGGTTCCCCGGTCCCGGACGTGCCCTTACCAATATGCCTCGTTCGTGTCGTCCCGTCTCCCGGCCCAGGTCAGAAACCTTATTAGTTGACTCGTCCGCCTCCTCTTTTGAGATTTGGTGTTTCCTACCTCATTGAATTCTTCGTCACCAAGACCTGTCTTCCCTTTGCCAAGTGTTTCCTATACCTTGGGACAACTACTTCGGATCAATCTCTTGGGAACATTACACACGGCAGACCGTCACTTCCGGACGCGCCTTTCGCCATGTCGAGCAAGGTCGGAAGAACTTTGGCCAAGGGCCTTGGTATCGACGTCGATGCCCGGTACCGCAACGAGCCTACCGAGGCCGTCCAATCCGCCGCCGCCTCGTTCCGCTCCGTCGAGCAGTATGAGGAGAGGGAACCTACCGTCGCCGAGTTCCTGTACGAGCACCGGCCCACGGTTCACGGCGCTGTGAACTACATCAAGAGCCTGTTCCCCTTTTGGTCGTGGATCTTCCACTACAATGCTACCTGGCTTCTGGGAGACATCATTGCTGGTATGTTTTTCATTTGATGCCACTGGTGCTTGCTCAAATATCACATTGAATGAGCCCTTGTGATGCCATTCCATCTGCCATCTCATTCCAATACCTCAGAATACCTTGATAGCTAACTATTCATCTAAAGGTGTCACTGTCGGTTTCGTCGTCATCCCCCAAGGCATGGCCTACGCCCTCCTCGCGCAATTGACTCCCGAATACGGTCTTTACACCTCCTTTGTCGGTTTCATTCTCTACTGGGCCTTTGCGACCTCAAAGGACATCACAATCGGAACCGTCGCCGTCATGTCCCAACTTGTCGGTAACATCGTGCTCCGCGTCAAGGACTCCCACCCGCAATACGACGGCCCTCAAATCGCCCAAGCCCTGGCCGTCATCTCCGGCGCCGTCCTCCTGTTCATTGGTCTCGTCCGCCTGGGATGGATCGTCGAGTTCATCCCGCTCGTGGCCATCACCTCCTTCATGACTGGTGCCGCCATCAGCATCGCCGCGGGTCAAGTCCCCGCCCTCCTCGGTCTGCAGGGCGTCAACACGCGCAATCCGACGTACGAGGTCATTATCGATTTCTTGAAGGCGCTGCCCACTGCCAGGCTCGACGCCGCGATGGGTCTCACGGCCTTGTTCTTGCTGTACTCTATCCGCTCGTTCTGCAACTTCATGTCGAACAAGCAGCCCCACCGCAAGAAGTTCTGGTTCTTCATGTCGACACTCCGCATGGCGTTTGTCATTCTCCTATACGTCCTCATCAGCTGGCTCGTCAACCGTCACGTCAACTGGGACGCCAAGAAGGCCAAGTTCAAGATTTTGGGCAAGGTCCCCAGTGGTTTCCAGCACACCGGCGCTCCTAAGATTGACACGGAGCTCCTTGGTGCCGTGGCCCCTGATTTGCCAGTCACCATCATCGTCCTCATCATCGAGCACATTGCCATTTCCAAGTCCTTCGGAAGAGTCAACAACTACGTCATCAACCCCTCGCAGGAGCTCGTCGCGGTCGGCTTCACGAACCTCTTCGGACCCTTCCTCGGCGCCTACCCGGCCACCGGATCCTTCTCCCGTACCGCCATCAAGTCCAAGGCCGGTGTTCGCACACCCCTTGCCGGTATATTCACTGCCGTTATCGTTCTCCTGGCCCTGTACGCCCTGACCTCCGTCTTCTTCTATATCCCCATGGCCACCCTCGCCGGTCTCATTATCCACGCCGTCGGTGACCTCATCACGCCGCCTAAGGTGGTGTACCAGTTCTGGGAGGTGTCGCCCCTTGAGGTCTTCATCTTCTTCGCTGGCGTTCTCCTCACCATCTTCACCAACATTGAGAACGGCATCTATCTGACCATGTGCGCATCTGCCGCCCTCCTGCTGGTGCGTCTCGCGAAGGCCAAGGGTCACTTCCTTGGACGCGTCAAGGTCTACCGTGCCACGAAAGACACCGCCGGCAAGGGCGTTCCCTTCAACGAGAGGGGCGAGGCTATCGATGTTCCTGCCCGCGAGAGCTACATCCCTCTCGAGAAGGATGACGGCTCGAACCCCAACATCGACGTTCAGACCCCGTACCCCGGTGTCTTTGTTTACCGGTTCGGCGAGGGCTTCAACTACACCAACCAGGCTCACTACATGGATGCCCTGGTCGCCTATGTGCAGAAGCACGCAAGACGGACAATTCTCGATCGCTACGAGAAGCTCGGCGTAAGTTCACCTACCTACTGTACCCCGCTTGACCATTCATCTAACAATCGCCCAATAGGACCGTCCCTGGAACGACCCCGGTCCGCGCCGCGGCGCCAAGATCGACCTCGACGATACCCGCCCTATCGTCCGCGCAATCATCCTAGACTGCTCTGCTGTTAACAACATCGACGTGACCTCAATCCAAGGCCTCATCGATGTCCGCAACGCTCTAGACCACTACGCCGAGCCCGAGGTCGTCGAATGGCACTTCGCCAACGTCAACAACCGCTGGACCCGCCGCGCCCTCGCTGCCGCCGGCTTCGGATTCCCCTCCGTCAAGGATGAGGGCAACTTTGGAAGGTGGAAGCCCATCTACAGCTTCGCACCCGTGGACTCTGGATCAGGTCACGAGCCCCGGGTCACCTCGCAGCGCAGCCGCGACGAAGAGGAAGAGGACGTCATCTCTCCCACGAGCAAGGGTCACGATGGTGCTGCGAGGGTTGTGGGACGTGGTGATGGCAAGCTTGCTGCTGTGCAGGGTATGAATCGGCCATTCTTCCACATTGATGTTGCTGCGGCTGTGGAGAGTGCGATTCTGAATGCGGAGAGCAAGAGTGATGGGCAGAGATCGTCGGCTGAGTCGGTCCTTAAGAGCGGTTAGAGTTGATCAAGCGGCCAAGACGCGCACATTTGTTATGGTGCTTGATGAGGTGTAGTAATTGTTGTTCAAAGATTATAGATCCAGATACCAAGTTGTGTTGTTGCATATACCGCTCTAGGGACTGGGAAGAGGCCCTAGTTAAACCTTCTAATTCAATCTTTTCCCATTATCCCTATCAAATAATGTTCTTAATTGAGATCTATGAGACTTTTGAAGCCTTCAAAGCGGTGTTTCAGCATTGTATCCGTGCAGATTGGCGTAGGGAGGTGGTCTGAAACGCCGCTGATGCATCTTGGCGTTCTGCCTTTGCCGTCGTCTCACCAGCGTGCGCCAACTTTTGATGGGACAGATTCCCGAGCGCAAGATTAATCTCCAATCTCTACAACTTCAAAGATCCTTCTTCGATAGTATCATATCAAGAATCATGCGAATATCATCAAATCCCATTGTACGAGCCGCCCTCGTGGCGGCATGGCTCGCCTCAACAGTCCTCGCGATGCCTCAAGTAGTCGACCGCGACGACCCCCCACCCACCCCACCAGCACCGCCGAAACCCATCGCGACAGCCGACCAAGTCGACATTACTCAGCCAAACACCACTGTCCCTCCACCACAAGAACAAAAGCCGCCCGTTCCGATCACAGTCCGGCTGTTCCCCAGCTCGCCGGGCGTCAAGAACTGCCGCGGCGTGTCCTTTGTCGATATGGAGCTCCCGCAGAACGCGTCGACGGAGCCGACATTCACGACCAAGGACGGGCAGTGCTACAACCTACCGGGCACCGCGCAGTGCGGCATCTTTATGGGAAACAAGGCGGACGGATGCGAGGCCAAGCTGTTTCGCGGGGAGCGGTGCAGCGCGTTTTCTAACGTTGCTGTTTTTCAGGACGAACTACGGCCCGTGGGCGGCTTCTTTGCGAGTATGAGTATCAAGTGCGGTGTCATACCCGTTGAGCCGAAGCCGTTGAGTTTGGGTGGCTTGGGCGGCAAGATGCAGAAGCCCGTTCAGGGGAAGGGCAAGAAGGCCAGGAGGTCGGTTGTGTCTACGATACTCGACGATGACTAGACTCGCACGGGATGCGGCATAGAGGGAACATTGGGGGCTTTGCTTGATAGGCGTTAAGGGTCTGGGACTTGAAGCGAGATTCCACCCCCCGGTTCAAGGGCTCGGGAGGCTTACGGGAGTTGCGGCACGTAGACGCCGGCATGACAGGATGGCATTAGCCGTTGACGAATAATGATAATGACACTTGACGACCATACGAGAGTTTTCCTTCAGTGAGGCAGCCCCCGATTAGCTGTGGCCCTAGCCACCCCAGTAGACCTGCCAAAGCCAAGTTCCAATCAATGTCGTTCTGGGTCTTATGACGCCGGACGTTAGACCAGGCAAATACCTGGTAACACGACGGTGGTCGGTTTCTCGGCTCATCAGGCCCAATTCACGTCCGACTGGCTCGATGCCTCGGGCTCGTCATGCTGGTGGCGACCAAAAACATCGACCGTCGTGCCAGAGGGAGGATCAAACAGGAGGGGGCCACAGCCGGACCACATCGTCCACAATCTTTTGTTGTGGTTGATTGGTCTGTGCTTGGGGGGGAGAATTGTGAGACACCCTGCTTGGCGATCATGGACTCTCAGTATGGCCCCGTTTGCTGAGCTTATTCTCTCGATGGTCGTATTGCAGACTGGAGACTATGGAAACTCTCTGTTCTCGAACTCAAGTTCGACAGAACAGAAAACGATTCCGCCAAAGGATCCAACGGCTTCGAACGTGCACAATCATATACGAAGAGACAAGCTAGCCGCGGCGTCCCAAGTCTCTGGCGTGGCTTTCACCCAAGACACCAGACCGTCTGATCTGAGATCCCAAATGTGTCATCTCGTCTCAGACGCTCCAGCCCCTTGCACTGACAAGAACACCCTCCTACCGAGTGTGTCCCCCCCCCCCCCTCCCAATGCTCCCCTCCATGTCAATTATGGCACATATAACGACACAGACTTCCTTGATCCCTCTCTTTTTAGTTGTCTGCTGCCACTCTTCCCTCATTTTTGAACGAGTCATCCTTCTTTTTCCTCTCTTCTTTCCTTTTGGGGTTGTATTCCTTCACTTCTCAGTGGCCGGCCACTTTTAAACTTTTGGGTTGTCATTGAACTTTGTCGGCTGGTTTCTGTCGCGGTCCTTTCAGTTAAACTTGAAGCTCTCTCGACACCACCCTTGTCTACCTTTCATAATACAATACCATCTATTCTTCCATCTCACCTTTCGCTCAAGCTCGACATCAAAGCGCACAAGTGCCACCGAAAGTCAAGATGCAGCACTCAATCTTCACCAACCTCTTCCTGGCGGTCTCTCTTATGAGCACCGCCGCCTTCGGTAAAGCAATCGAGGTCCCGGCCCCGGGCCCCGCCGTCGTCGTCCGCCAGACAAACCCCACGACACCCGCCCAGTCAACCATCATGTCATGCGGCGAGTACTCCCGCATCGCCAACCTCTCCACCGTCGGCGCGAACAGCACCTACCGCGCCACCTTTTTCGAGGCCTCGCCCAACGGGAACCAGTTCAACGCCGAGGTCCTCGACACCGCCATCCTCAAGCTGCCGACCGTCATCATGGACCGCGCGCTGAACGAGGCCTGCGGAAACCTGACGGCGCTGGCGATTCAGGAGGCTGCGAACAATTTCTCGATCCGCACCGTGTTGCAGTTTTCAAACATCCCGCCTGCTGAGCCGCTTGATACCTCTACGCACATCATCTTTGTCTGTGCCGGTGCGTTGTTCTTCATGAGTGGAATTTGGGTGGCCATGCCGTGAGAGAAGCCGTCTCGATATGGTGCAAGGGGGGTTGAGGAGGAGTTGATGGGGAAGATGGGAGGCGAGGCAAGGAGAGGGAGAGAGTGGGGGAGAGGACCGATGTTCAAATCACCCGGATTCTACAGACCTAATGCATCCTACCTGAACCCAGCTTTGAAATGCGGATTTGCTCTAAGTCGGAATGGGACTTGAGAGATATGCTTAGCACGGTGTTGAACATGAATGCCATTACGATACCCAATTAAAGTCAATTACTTACCTTCGCCACTGTATCGACCCATGAGAAGATCGGACTTCATTTCGTTGATCTTATCGCCCAGCTGTTTGATCTCATCTCGAAATTCAGCAATTTCCGGAGTCGATACTTCCAATGCTTTTTTCTTTTTCAATTTTGCCTGTGGAGATATTGATGAGGAGAGAATCGTCTCGTATCGAAAATTAGTGGGCAGGCGGATCGAGCAGTCTGGCCCTTCCATGATTGGCGAGCTGGATGAAGGTATCTGGACATAATTCCGCCTCGATCGTTATGATGAAGATTGAAATGTTACCGTGCTCCCCGGTCCCACGGATTGCACAAATTCTATAAAACGGATCCTTCAAGACCCGGCGGCTTACACACTAGATATAACTATGTTCTAAGGTAGTTACTCTGAAAACTCACTATGAATCATCATGGCTCAGTTTGTAACGTGCGACTCCCATTGGTTGCTAGCGGACTAGTAGATCGGCTTGGACCCTGAACGATCTAGGCATGCACGTGCATCGATCGCTCCTGCCAGTCCAAGGAATTTGATGCCTCTACTAAGTACTGCACATACAGTATATATCGAAGCTCTTCCTTGTTCTACCTTGGACGTCGTCTTTCATTCCACTTCCAACTCTCCATACAGCTGACACCCACGATATTTGCAAAATGTCAAAATCAACTCACGCTATCGTCTTTGGCGCCTCTGGCCTGCTCGGCTGGGCGACTGTCGAGCAGCTGCTCTCTAACTACCCCTCAAAAGGTTCCTTCGAGAATGTCACGGCTGTGATGAACAGATCGCTGTCAGAATCCGACTCTTTCTGGCCATCAGCGTCGCCCACCAGGCCCAGACTACAAATCGCTTCTGATGTCAACCTTACCGGGACGCTGGAAGACCTGACTTCGCAGCTCAAGGGCAAAGTCGATGGGATCGAGGGCGTCACCCATGTATTCTATTTCGGTGAGAATTTTATCCCGTCTGACAAAATCATCCACTGGAGGATGTAGTTAATATTCTGGCCATTATCACAGTCTTCAATCAGGGCGATGGGGATGATGTTGCCGAGTGCAAGACCAACTGTAGTATGATGCAGACGGTGGTCGATGCGGTGACCACGTTGTCGACAAACCTCAAGGCATTTGTCTACTCTGGCGGAACCAGAGTAAGTCTTCCTCATCTCCCATCATACCATGATATAAAGCTGACAAACATCACTTAGGGCTATGGGATTTACACACCTGGCGGTACCTTCGAGCCCCCCTTGGAGGAATCAATGGCAGACAACCTCCCTGAAGACTACGCAAAGACCGTCGCGTACCCCTGGTGGCGTAAGATCCTCGCGAAGGCGAGCGATGGCAAGCCGTGGACCTGGTCAGAAGTATGCCCAGACGCGGTAGTTGGATTCTCCCCGAATGGATCTGGTTTCTCGTTGGCACTCCACTGGGCGCAGTACCTATCCCTCTACGCCTATAATCACGGAGTGAGCAAGAACTCCGAGTCCAATGTTGAAGTTTCATTCCCTGGAAGCCAGGCGGGATACAACAGCCTTTGCACTCCCGTCTCTTCTCGGATTCTTGGTCGCATCGCCATACACGCCTCACTTCATGGGGACAAGTGCGGTACAAAGGTCATCAACATGGCCGACAAAGAGCAGCCTACCAAGTTTAGTGACCTATGGCCATCGATCGCTGATTGGTTCGGACTCGTTGGTGTTGGACCGAGGGAAAACGACAATGCAGAGAAGCCTGGGGAGTATGTCAAGAAACATAGGCAGATATTCGAAGAACAGGGCTGTGGTAGAGCTGTCACTGCTGGTGTTGGGGGTGGAAGTGTCCAGCTTGACAGCGTTGGGTACTGGTTGTCTTTCGATCGACAGCTTAGCTTGCAGAGGTTGAGGTCTGTGGGATTCACCGAAGAGAGAGATCCTGTTCAAGGCTGGCTGGAGGCGTTTGAGAAGTTTAGAGAAGCGAGCATCATTCTCTAACTATATCTGAACTGAATTAAACAATACTTCAACTTGCAGCTGCGATGCAAGAGACGGACGGCGCCCGCTTGGTCCTGCTGGTCCTATGGAACCCACAATGTCTGCACGGTGTTCTCTCAAATTCAGTGAAGTAGAAGAAACCCAGAGTTTCATCCCAAAGCTTGGAGCATAGAGTGATTTACTAGATGATGACACCAATCCACCGCGAAGAATGACTAGCTCGATCTGTCTTGAAAGAATTAAGTGCATCACTAGCTAGAGGCATTTGATCTGACATCGCATTACTTTCATCTATGTTGCCCTGCACACATTCTATAGCCTTATCATAGCCTTCTACAATGATCTGATACTTCGCTTCTATAGGTTGAAGTCTACTCCTTCCCCAACAGCCACCTCATTCCCTTCATCGTATTCGGCCCTAGCTCCGCAGGCTGGTCTTGGGGAGCAAAGATAGTCCAGCCTTGGTGTCCCCAGTCAGGATAGTTATCGACTCTTGACTCAACCCCATTGTCCTTCAAAACTGTGGCATAAATCAACCCATCATCCCTCAACGGGTCTCGATCGCCAACCTGAATATAAGCCTTGGGTGATTTAGGGATGGCCTCAGGATCGTTGAAAGGCGAGTACCATGGCGACTTGATCTCCGCCTGCAACGCCTTCGACACATCGTTGATGACAGCGGTAGTAAAGGTCGGGCTCCACTCAGCGTTGGTCTCTCGGGAAACCCACTCCTTGGCGTATTTCTCCGGCACAATCTCCTTGACAAGCAGGAACGGTATTCCCAGAAGCGTGCCAGTAATGCCCAATCCCTCGACACCAGACCTCTGGCTGACAACTGAGGCAATGTTCGCACCAGCAGACCACCCGCCGACAATAAAGCCCTTGCTGATATCCCCGCCGAATCGACTAGCATTCTTCGATAACCATACAGCAGTCTCCCAACCGTCCTTGACTGACCTGGGAAACTTATGTTCAGGCGCGAGACGGTAAGTCGCGTTGACCACCACAGCGCCGAACTCGAGCGCAAAATCCCGCGCGGGCCGGGTCGTCGGCTCGACGCCGGCAACGATGAAACCACCGCCTGGCCAGAGCAGAATGAGAGGCCGGTCCGCGTTCGACTCGTCTACGCCGCGCGGGCGGACAATTTGGAGATCAATTTTGTAGCCATCTGGGAGAGTTGCGACGTCGCGGAACTCTTCGAGGGACTTGTCGAGTGGAGGAAGAGCGGCTAAGAGGCTCTGAAGGAGTTGAGGTCGGGTTTCCCTGGATTTTATGAATGATTCCATGATTAAAACTTTCGGCGAAATTTGATGTGCGAGATGAATCTGAGACTTGAAGTTGCGTACTTGGATAGGTGGGAGGAATGGGGGTTTTGAAAGAGGGTGTTTCCGCTTTCCTCAATGATTTCTCGTATTCAGTATCCGAGTCGCACCGCCCCCGCCCCCATGGATGTGGATCCGGGGAGAGGTCGAGTTCAGAACGCGGGGGCGTCGGGCCAAGTCCGGCGTCGGCAATGCGACGTCGGAGGTGTCTGATAGCATCTTAGTGGTTCGAATTGTCACGACGGGTCGGTCGACGGGATATGCTGCACCGAAACCGAAGTCCTCCTCGCCGTTTGTTGGGCATGGAGTTGCGGCAATAATCGTTTCGGGAGCCGGGAAATGGCTTGCCAAGCTTAGCTGTACTCTTCGCCTTGGTCATTTGATCTGAGCCTCCTACTCGATGGAGCAAGAAATTGTGATTTAATCGCGTAAAGACAGCATTAGTTCATCACCTCGTGACAGACGTCCCTACGACATTCAGTATCAGAATATCTAGTCACTCTCATAAATCTATGTTTGGTGATATCTTGGCCGTTATACCTGTTACGCGTTGCGCAAGGACAAGACTCTATTAGAGTGGAAATTCATGGATAGCAAGCTTAATGTTCATTATGATGGCCACCACCGTAGTCCAGACTTGAGACGGACAAAGGAGGTTCAAAGGGCAACCCTCGAAGGATGGATGTGCTAGATATTCTGTGCTTGTCCCAGCCATTATGGCACGCCAAAGGAAAATTGTTACTACTGTTTATCTAGTAGGGAGTTCTCGGTAAGACGCCCATAGTTTCTGCATCATTTCTTTGCGGAAGTTTACGAATGTTGCACGCCGCTTCATCATTCATGATCGAGTTGAGATCTTCTGACAACGAGCACACGATATCAATCGTGAATATCGTCTGAACTAGTTTGGCTTTCAAGCATTTTCTGATATCCTCCGCGTCATCTGCCACAGGTGATTGAATGATACAAGGAAGAACCGAAACAGATCTCCACTTGTTTCCAAAGATGGTCCTGGTAGCGACAATTTATATTGATATCGTAAATTGAAGACATCGTATTTTAGAAACCAGCTCTTATTCATCCGCCCATCACAACACATGGAAGATAACCGGGTTGCCGAGCCAAGCGAATGCAGCACCTTAGACAAGCTGAAGCTTGAAGAACTGCAGGTTCGGTGGTTTTGTGAAACCCACACGGCCTGTCTGCCCACCTAGACACCTCATGTAGCATCAGACCACAAACGAGGAGCTGTTCAAGTTTGTTCCCATGTGAAGCGTACACCAACACCTCTGCAGCGTCTCGGCGGCGTAAAGAAGCCACATGAAAGCCACTCACGGCCACATCTTGGTCATTTTCTACCATATACGGCTTGTCTTCCTCATGATTGCACTTTGGAACGGCCCAACAGGATATGAGCTGATACACGCAAAGTGTAAAGGATGCTGCCACTGGCCTTGACGTCTTTCCCCTTAATTTTAGTTGTACGAAGATGACATGTTCCTGTGTGAAGGCATCCATAGTGATCTCAGTTTCCGATGGTCTGTGACCGGGTTTCAACATGGTTCTTCCCGCCAAGGCGACAACCTCCGCGGTCTCATTAACACGATTCAAAGTTGTGTTTGGACCACGGGGCAACTCTTCCACGACAACGTTACGAAAATTTCCGGCCACTGATGCCCGGCCGGACTGAATGCGAATGATTCTGCCGCAATGGTCGAAACACTCATTTTCCATGACACATTTGTAATTAATGGTGAAGGCTCTTCCCGAAATCCCCAAAACTGCGTTGTCTACACCGACTTTTGGAGATTCGTTAGCTTTGTCCAGCCAGTGAAGCGCGTAGTCACAGCAAATCAGTTCCCCGAGATGATATAACACGTCTCGATGCTTGACACCTAGCTTTGTTTCCATGTGCTCCTGTCCACCCCTGTGCGCTTCCCCGGCATTATGTCCCATGACGAGGTTCTGGCTCCATCGCGTCATCACATCTCCCGCAAGAACTTTCTCCTGTACTCTTACTTCGGCGGCGTCGAAATTGCAGAACATCAGTGCGAGGGCCGTGGTTGCAGAGCAGTGAATCAGCCTCCCAACAGTTCTGCAAGGGCAAAGGGGGAATCTTGAGTTTTCAGTCCACTTGAATTGATGGCCCTTGATATCACCTTGACTCCCATGCACCCAACAGGAATCCGCCAGTGTAAGCAAAGCTTTGAGATCAAGGAAGCAAAGCCCTTGGTGCTCCATCCTGTCTGGCATTGACACCGGAGGTTGTCCAAGGTACCATTCCTGGCCCGGAGCAACTTGTTGGCTAGAGTTGGCGTCGATACCCATTGAAATCAGCGCGTCCTCTAAAGCCCTCTCACCATTGAGGAGACCGCCATTACAATGAGCGTAATTATGAGGATGATGAAGCACCATTTTCTTCAAGAGATTGAAGGAGAGGCATTTTATCCCAACTCTAATGGATGCAGCGATGTCGGCATCAATCTCAGGCCTTTTGAGGAACTGCGCCTCGAGAGCTTCTCCGATCAGATAATCAACAATCAAAGATGATGCGTCGCTTTCTCCTTCATGATTGTCTTCCTTTATACGTGCAACTACCCCATCAGCCTGTGAAAACGGATGGAGAGCGGGGTGAACGGCGGGCTCATCACCAAGTTGGAATAGACAATGCCCATGATCGCCTCCGCTGGCCCAGATAGTTGTTCGGTTGAAGCGAACTTCGACAGACATGCCAAGGATGTGACTCGCGAAGGCCGGGAGCCATGATCCACGCATTTTGAGTGCCATGTAATCTCTTTGGCCCATCCGAGCCGAGTAAACGAGCTGTTTGATGGCTCCGGCTAGAGCAGCCGCGCCTCCCAAATCTTTCAATTGCGTAAGAAGACGAGCATTCCTTTTGTCATCGCCCATTCTGTTATCTTTGCCTTCGTACCGGATGACTCGTTCTGCAAGATTTGTGATGTGATGGAGAACCTTCGAGAAGCCGAGGTCCTGCGTGTATGGAGCCAAATAATTGACCAAGCCCTTGAGCACATCGACACTCGGCAGCGCATCGGCCTCGAGTCCGTGTATGATCAGAACCTCGGATAAACACTGGGCAGCAGCGAATGCCTGACATCCTGTCGCAAGGGCGCCGATGAAAACAATAGCGTTCGTCCCAGCCACTGTCCGGGCCAGATCCGCTACTGGCGCTGAGTGACCCCGTCCGATGCTGAGTGCTTTCGAAAGAACCGATTGATACGTCTTTTTCGACATGATGTGAGCGTGCAACGAGTTCTGGTGAGAAGACTGAACAGGTATGCGTTTGCCTAGCTGAACAGCAGCCCACATGGCATACGTGTCGACGCCGCCATCGCTGAGGGCCTTGAGCAGTCGCCCGGTCAAGACATGTCCCAGGGAGGCCGTATTTACGACATCGGCTTGGAAGCTGAAGCCTATTTGGTCGGCCATGATCGGTCGGTTGGATGCTTATTGTGAAAGGGGGAGAAACGAGGAGTTGTGTCAAAATCAGGCTGCGTTCAGCAATGTTGGGAGAGAATGGGGACCTTGGCACCTTGTGCTGCATGATGCATGTCTGCAAGTCACCCCATTTTCATTGGAGCGCCAACCTGCCAACCGAGACAGCAGGTACGGTGGCTGTGGAGTGGAAGAAGATGGCAAGGGAAGATGTAAGAGACATGCTTAGTCGACATTGATCCTATTGAACTTCGAGGCTTTCATGCTCGGTACCGTTGGAATTCACGTGGCTAGATTGCTTTACATGTTTCATAAACAGCAGAGAAGTAAGAAGTGAAGTGTAGTGAAGTTGTGGAAGTCGGCACTGAGCTTTGAGAAGTGAAGTAACTCCCTGGAGTGCCTACATCTTCCAGCCAATCACGCCAAGACATTCCTACGCTAGCCCGTCATAATTGTTAGCGGCGACTTCACTGCCAGCACAACGCCAAACCATTAATCTTCACCCAGTCATTATTTACACTACATAATAATATTCAGGGCCACCCCGTTTTCCACGATCGATCTTCCTCTTTTAATAGCGCATCAGCAATCTCTGAAGACCATGGCCCGTACAGAGGAAGCAGAAGCCTTCTTCCACGCAGTCTACACCGCAGTCCAAGAGATCCCCGTGGGCAAAGTGACAACCTACGGCCACATCGCCAGGCTCGTCGGAACCCGTGAGACCTTTCTTCCCTCACTCCGCCCTCCACTCTCCCCCTCTCTTCACCCGGAACCCCATCTCATCGCATCTCATCCTTCACATGATTCCACGCACCAGATACGCAGTTCATGAAGAACGCCTGTCAGGTAACAGCTAACAACCCCCCAAAGCCGAACGTCCCCGTCAAGTAGGCATCTGCCTCAAACACCTCCCCACAGACCCAGCATCCCGCTTCAACAACGAAAACGTCCCATGGCAGCGCGTCATCAACGCCAAAGGAACCATTTCGCCACGGTACATCCACCTCACCACCCACTCCCACAACCCGTTTTCGCACCATCACACTCACGCTCACTTACGTACATAACGCATCTAACATCACATCTTTCATTAGCTCCCAGCCGTCAGGTGCTCGAAACCAAGCCGAAGCCCTACAAGCCGAGGACGTCGGGGTCTCGCGGACGGCATTGGGCGAGTTCACGGTCGACTTTAGTTCCTACGGCTGGTTTCCCGATGTTCTCCCCTCTGAAGAAGAATGAAGGCAGATACAGTCAAGATCCTGAATCAGACGTGTCTCAACATCGAAAGAGTCCGAAAGGTCACAAAGCGGACGGACCTGTCTTTTTAATCGTCAATGCAAAGGCGCGGCACGAGGCGCGACACGTGGAGTACGAGTGAACTTCCAAGCCACTTTTATTCAACCGACGGCATTCTAGCGGGCGCCAAAAACTAGCATTAGCCAAGGTGTTTAATACCCCCTCGTCGTGTCTCTCAGGACCATCTTTGAGTAATCAGGCAGCCAAAGGCAGCCAGCCCGGCCTCGCAAACACCTCGAGAGACCGCCACCAAACGCAACCGGTCCGTCTCCAACCCATCACCATCCCATCCGCCATCATCCTTCCCTCGTGCCGTCATTAGTGCACGACGTCGGTCTTGCTATTCGTAAAAACAAAATGTTATGTAAGAGAAATAATTAGAATAGAAACAAAGAGAAGTGAAGGGTTGGATGGTGCATATCGTATGGGCGAAGTCGCGTAGTGGTATTGAAAAAGAGGAATGGTCCATCGTCAATACCCTCCCAGCAGAAAAAGCACGTACGAGCCACCAGTATGAGAAACTCCTGCCCAATCTTTCTGGGTTTCGCCATGCGTAAGGGGAATCATCGTCGGCCAGCATGAAAAATGCCGCAAACGCAAAATACAATATGGTGCGAGGGGTAGTGTAAACGGCAAAAACGAAAATCAAGAAAACGCCCTGTCACGCCAAAAAAAAAAACAATCAAAAACCCGGCCCAATCGATGTCCATGATGCGAGACAGGTCAATCCAGTCGGACTCGGTCCCTCCGAGATGCGAGGTTCCAGTAACAAGGCTTCAACTAGAAGCAGTTGAGGGAACCCTTCTTCTTCTTCTTGGACAGTGCATTCATGCGCTCTTCAAGAAGACGCTGCTGTGCCTCGGCTGCCTGGCGCTTCTTGCGTTCCTCCTCAACGGCGTGCAAGCTCCAGCGGTTGTCGGCTTGTGGCGTAGGCGCGGGACGGTCCTTGAGCTCCTTGACCTCGGACTCCAACTCCACGCAGCGCTTGCGCCAAGCATCACTGTCGGCCTTGACCTTGTTCGACTGGCGCTCGAGGTCGGTGAGAGCCTCCTCCAGAGTCTGAGTGAGTTGCTTCTCGGCCTGAAGATGCTTCTCGATGGTGCGGATGCGAGCCTCCTGGTCTTCTTGTATTTGGTTGACAGGGCCCATGTTGTCTTTGCTGCCTGGTCGGCCTGCTTGAGTGGGTGTGCTTGGCACCGTGCCGTTGGGGCCGGACGACGCGCCGGGCAGCGGCGGCAAGGGAATGGCCGGCGGTGGAGAGGGCAGAGATGCAACAGAGGCGCTCTTCCGCAGCGGCGAGCTAATCGAGTTGGATCGTTGGACTTGGCCAGAAGCGGACGCTTCGTCAATCTTGGCCTGTACTACATTAGCAGTTGAAACAGAACGAGCTACTTGAATGGCACATACCTGGAGGGCCGCGTATTCGGCCTTGAGTGAATCAAGCTCGCTTTCAGCCTTGAACTTGGCAGCCTGAGCTTCCTCAATCTGCGAGTTGCGCTCTGTCTGCAGCGTGGACAGGCGGTTGTTGGTCATCTGGACCTGATCAAAGTTGCTCTGTAGCTGATCCTCGAGCTCTTCCACAAGGCGAGAGTTCTTCTTGTTCCGGCTCTGCAGGTCTGAAATCTTCTTACGAATAGCAGACAGCTGATCGGGGAGAGGAGCAGGGCTTTTCAGGGGCTCACCCTCCGCAGTAAGGAGATCGGTCAGCGTCGATTTGGCCTGCTCAAGTTCCTTGACCAGGTTGTCGTTAACGGTCGACAACTCGGCAACCTGCTTCTCAGCTGCGCTCGATTTCTTCTGCTCCTCGCCCAAGGCCTTCTGGTCGGCAATCAAGTCGTCGATACGCTCTGTGATCTTCTCGATGCTGACGTCGAGACCAAGAGCGAATGCAACTTGGGTAGCGACCTTCATGAGATCTTCCCGGGCGTCATTAAGCTCGCATTCGAGGGCCCTGACATTTTCCGCATGCTCATTGAGTAGGACTGCGACTTGCTCCTCGTACCCCTTCTGCTCCATCTGCTTCATCTCCTCTAGCTCCTTTGCGTGATTCTCCTGAAGCAGCTTCATACCATCCTGGTGTGTCTTGAGAGCCTGTTCGTGGGCTGTGATCTGGTTCTCCAGGTTCGTAATGAGGCTCTGCTGCGTCTTCGCCTGTGTCTCATGCAAGTTACGGGCCCTGATGACGTCCTCCAGCTCCGTCTTGGTGGCAGCGTGCGCTGCTTCCAGTTCGGATACCTTGCTAGAGTTGGTGGTGATGGCAACCTTGTGCTCGTCAATCTCGTCGCGAAGTGACTTGACCAGCGTCTCGTGCTTCTCCTCGATTTCCTTGACTTCCTCAGCACTCCGAGCAGTGGAGTGCGCGGAGGCCTGCGTGTTCAGCGCTACAATTTCAGATTCGAGCTCTTCGATGGTCCTCTTCATCCTCGTCTCCGTCTCTTGTAAGGTGTTGAGGGCAGTCTGGTGCTTCGTCTCCCATGCCGTGAGTTCGGCTTGTAATTCGGTGATCTTCTTGTCGTTCTCCTCTGTGGTCTGCAAAGATCTCGTTTCGGTGTTGGTCATCTCGGTCGATGCCATGGGGATGTCTGCAACGGCGCCGGCCGCGGCGGTCGCAACCACGGTCTCGGTAGTACCTTCAGGGGCTTCACCAACAGCAGGAGCATCCCTCACAGCAGTCCGCAATGTTTCGAGCTCGGCCATAAGCTTCTTCTCGGTGGCTTCGTGATTTTCTCTCATTTCTGCCATCTGCTTCTCGTTGGCCTCGAGTTGGTTCTTCAGGGTGGAGATCATCGACATGTCCATCGGAGACGCCTGCAAACTAGATCGCTCACGAGTGAGCCCAGAAATCAGAGCCATCTTAGTCTCCATCTCTTTCTTGGCGGACGCAATGTCAGCCTCGAGCTCCTGAATGCGCTCCGATCGAGCATGCAGCTCGTGCATGGCTGCGTTGAGGTTAAGCTCGAAGTTTTGCATAACATCAGGCTGGCCTTCGAAGTTGTCTGCGGCAATGTTGCGGAGCGACGCAAAAGATCGATGTGCGCGGTCGATAATCATAACATTTTGGCTGGATTTGCGGCGAATGACGGGTTGGCCAGTTCGTGGCGACGACGCCTCCAATGCCTTTGCTTGGGCAACTTCGGTCTTCAGCTCCTCCAGCATATCCAGGGCTTCGTGGTGCTTCTGTTCAAGCTGTGTGTATTTCTCAGCCAGCTCCTTCTCTGCATCCTCCTTCTCGGCAGCAAGAGTCTTAAACCTCTCAACCTCCGTCGCCAGGAGATCCTGGTGCATGAGATCCTCCGTTGACAAATGATCGGGACCCGACTCGGGCTTTGCAGTCACTGATGTCTCGGCATCAGACGGATCAATGGTGGCAGGCGACTCCAACGCCGACGAAAGCTCCGATGAAAGAGAGCGTGATGAAAATTGGCCGCCGTCTTTGAGATCACTCGACCTGGCGTCGGAGAAGAACGAGGGTGGTCGAGTCAGGTTGGGAGAAGTGACAGACATCATAGAGTCCCGGACCTTGCGTTCGGGGTGGCGAGACTCGTCGATAGTGTCCTGAAGCTCTGCCAAGGTGCGTAGGGCTTCCTCGTACTTGGAGTGCAGAAGGTCGTATTCGTTGACCGTGGTCTCATGCTCTACCCTTAAGTCGATGAGCTCCTGAGTGACGTTCTCCAGCTTGTCGTGCACAAATTTGGACT